TTCCCTCTTTTTTGATAGAGATTCTCTTTTTTCCACTTCTTTCTCCCTCTTCATAATCCTTTTTGTATATTTTTTTTATTGTGAATAAATAGTTCAATTCGTTTTTAATTAAAATATTGCTCTAAGTAAGAGCATTGCCAGCTACAACTTTCACAATGTATAAATTAATGTTTGTACATCCTGATCAACCGCTGATGTTTGTTAACAAATTTATTGAGAATTACATTCAACGTCTTACTTGCTTTATAAAAGATAGGAATTTCTTTTTTTTAAAGATTTAATTTACTTCGGAGACCATAGAGAATTTTAGAATTTTGCTATGGTGCAACACTTGTAAATCTCAAAATGATAAAGGCATTGTAGCTGTTCCCCTTTGCCATCATAGTTATGATTACCGGTATCTTTAGCCTCCTCCTCCACCTCTCCCCCCACCCTCCCCCCTTCCCCCCCCCCCCCAATGAATGCCTGAGGTGGCCTTCCCATAAAACTGACAACATTAAAGGCACGTTCTTAGTATATATTGAGGGCTAAAATGGTGTTAATTCTGTGCAAAAAGATATGAGTAAACATCCTTCTGGCTCTGCAGAATATTTCTTCCTTTCATCTCCCACTCTATTCCTAACTCCCCCCACCCCCCCCCCCCTCACCCCCTCACCCCCTTCCCTCCCCTTTCTTGTCATACATGTATTACCACTATTCACTCCTTTCCCTACCTGTTATCAGAGATGCCAGTCTTCAGGCTTTTACCTGATTTCGGCCCTGACAGCTTCCCATTTCAGGCTTTTTCAGGCTTATATTGTACAGCACATATGGGGCTTTAATGTGTTCTGGCTTCTTTTCAGGCCCAGTGTGTAAAACTGACTGGCATCCCTGTGTTATATGAAGAAAACAAGTTATTCACATAAAAACTGCTCCACAAGGAGATCTTTAAGGCAAAAAATATATGTTGTATATTTAGAAGCACAATTTTTTTGTGTGGGTGAGATAATCTTGAAGAGATTCCAAGTCGCGTGACTCGGAAGTACAGATGAATGTTACATTCGTGACTTGGGTGAGATAAAGGTGCACACTGTTTTATCGCATCTCAGTGCCAATTTCTTTTTTTTTAAATAGTCCTAAATATAAAAACAGATTACACAGACAACGTGCAACTTTCTCTCTCTCTCTCTTCATATTTTGGTGATCCAAAGCGTATACTACAGGAGTTCGTCTTCTAAAGAGTTGTGATCGATCCAAGTAGATCACAAGTTCTTTATAAAAGGCCAAACTTACAGTCGCTTATCTGTTTTACAGATTTGCAAATGATATTGAATTCATGCTAAGTTGCAATCGATTTGGATCAGTCACAATGTTCTATAAGACAAGGCCCTTGATTTCATGACCATAACTCCCTCCAAGTCTCATTAAAAGTTTGATAGACATGCAGTCTGACTTTAAAAGGTCATTGCTTATAGCATTCAACAGTGCAATTATTTACTATTATTGCAAACGAACTCAGAAGCACATTTATATATATATATATATATATATATATATATGTCATTGAGGAAGTCAAAGGAGGTTTTGAACGCAGCCATGTTTCGTGTCTCACGCCGTCCTCTAGGAGTCGACGTACGTACCCATCGAAATAAGGAAATAGAATGTCTCCCAGAGATGCCGAATTAGAAATAACTTCTCACGGAATATGCCTGAAAACCGCTGCCTTCGCTGTCGGGGGAAGGCCTCGTTCGTGCAACTAGAAGACAGTGGTCCCAGAAGTGTGGCTATAGCCCCGCCTATTCAAATTGCTGTAATGCCACCAGTCTCCTCTGAGGATGTGGCTCTTCGTATTTCCAATGCTCAGCCTATGTCGGGCGAGAAAGTGAAAGCAGTGACAGTGAATGTCGTCCGGGAGGAGGAAAGGGGAAACGATTTCATATCTTAATTCGGCGTGTCATGCATGTGGTCTGTATCAGACAGTTTCCTGGCATGACAAGCGGGTAGTCTGCCTGGGAAGCACCCCCACGCTGAACATCAGAGTGGTCTTAGCAACCATCGATGATAGAGCAAGAGATATGTTAAGACATCGTTTCTTGAAGCGGCCCTCTTCACTAATTCCACGACTCTCCTCTCCCACTCGGATTAGAAACTAGTCGTATAAAGAGAAGAGGATTAATGTCAGCCAAACTTTATGGTTTCTAGATCATGAAATATTCTTAAAGTGTACCCATCCCCAAATCATGTTTTTCTCTTGATGTAAAGGCTTCCATGGGCCTAAATATGAGCTTCAAATATTACTTCTTCAAAGAGATAGTGCCAATTTAAATACATTCTAAATTATAATGAAATGTCTAGTTGAGAAGGGTCGTTACTAGTTAACGCAGGCAAATACACTCTCATAGAATAGGGCGCTCACAGAACCGACTTGGGATCCTTGCATGGCGTGTACACAGATTATTTGTTTATTATTCTTTTTTTGGGGTCCACACTCCTTGACCGTTAACCTTTAGAATGCTAGGGAAATTGATTTTAGCAATACACAAGATATTTTTTCAGGTGATTGGTATACTTTGAATAGGGCACAGTGATATCTCCAAAGGAAAGTAGATCACATTTTTATGAGGTACAGAAGTTTTTAAAAATGCATGGATATGAATAATTTTAACCTTAGTGTAAAATTTGAAGGGGACACACACCTTCTTGCCAACATTCATGCATCTTTCTTAGAAATGTGATATTAGTAACATATGTTAATAAAGTTACAAATGAGTAGATTTACAGGAATCACTGAAAGTAGTACATCTTGCATTACAATTTATTACCTAATGAATTAATGATTAATGGTTAATTGATCAATTAATAATCTACAGGTAACCTCTTTAAACAACTGAAATGAACAATAGAGAATGGCTGGATCCAGATCAATCCAGATTAAACCAGATTAAACCACCCAAGGGTGGTGAATAAGAGAAAGTGGTTGGATCCACATCTGACTACCCAAGGGAGGAGATCAAGAAATTACATTTGGATTCTTAATCATCAGGATTAATCATCAGCCATCAAATAAATGGAGATAGCTAGATCCGTAAAAAAATCATTTTCGTCTTCTGATGAAGATCTTTGATAGAGACATGAGCAAACCAACTTTTTACTTGTGTCTAAATTCATGCCAGCTGAAGCATTGTGGGATTTCCAATTTTGTCAAAAGAGGAACCATCTAAATAGGAAGTCTACTCAACAGAGGTGGAGTCTGACAAAACTACTTCCAAATGTTGTGTAAGAACATGACCTTGTATAACTTAGATTGCGTTTATCGACCAAATTTTTGGCTACAATCAGGTTTCTCAAACGTCTTTCAGGCAAATTTAGAAGGTGATAAACGCAAAGCCTTTTTTAAAGGGCTTTAGATATGGGCATATCTAAAGATGCAAAAAGGTGTGTTTTGAATGTGACATACAGCCAGAATCACGTTTCTGAGAGATCGATAAACGCAAAGCTGTTTTGAACCTCACATACAAATAGGAATTCCCAGGCTAGTTTCCGGTTCGGAGAAATAGCGCTGAGCACCTGCGAAGAGACAAGGTCTTTATTGTGAATAGTGAAGAGTCGATAAACGCGACATCCCGCAAATCACGATCGTATTGTGGGGTTTGATAGTGGGGTATGATAGTGGGGTACGATATGTACATATCTAGTGGCAAGCCCCGATAAACGCGCCCTAAGATGCAGTTTTACAAGCACAGGCTGGCATGCTCATGCCCTTTAAGTTTAATAGCTAAAGGGCAAGTGTGAAGTCTCTCTAATATTTATTAAATGGGGTATTTTATTACAGATCTGTCAATTTTTTTCCAACAGGGGAAAACTGTTTAATGACATTCGACAGTTTCCTCTGTCTTGCATTTTGTAAACTCCTGTCATCTATTTTGTTTTTCTTCTGCAAAATTGAGTGACAATTTAGTATGGCATCTTCAGCAGGCAGCTTGCTCCGTTACGGTGTATTTCTACAAAAAGATTGTGGCATTAATTGAGCCGTAGCTTAACGCTGCTCCGTAACCCGTGTTTGTGTCTGAGCAATCTCTCCATCTTGAAACCTGACAGCTCGAGACCCTTGCGCTGACAGGAAAGTCGTCACGGAGATGATAGGGTCTGGGAGCCGCTGGAAACGAGGATTGCACTGGGTCCACTTCCTCCCCTCCCCCCCATCCATCCCGGCTAGCTACCCACCGGCCCACGCACGATCCGCGCCTCGCTTCGCGTCTCGACATGCCAATAACTACCCATGATACCCCCCCTTTACCTTGCTCCGGCTTCAACGATGGGCTGCCTGCCTGCCTGCCGCTCACTGTCGATGATTCACCACCGGGGTGATATACCTTGCGTGTTGTGTCTGGGTGTCTCTCGTGACAGACGAGCGCTGCATACGCTTGGCTTAAAAACCTGATTCACCGTGTGTCTATTGTGTCTGGGTCTGTCTTCTATCTGTGGGGGTGTGTTCACACTGATGCATGTTCTTCTTTGACTCTGCTGAGAGACAGAGTTATCTTTAATCTCTGTATAAAAGTATAAGTGACGAACTCTTTCTGGCTCTCTGCAGACCTGTATAGGCAGTGTAATTTGATTCTTTCTGCTTGTCCCTCTTCATTTTTTAAGGCCTTAAATAAAGACAAAATGAAATGAAATAAAATGTTTCATTTCTTATTGGCATCTTCCATTGCTTTCCTCTGCTGCTTCCTTTATTCAAGATAAATCGTCATAACTCTCAAAGTTATAGACGATGATATCATTTCCAAGAAGGTCATATTTCTGTTAAAGGCACACTGTCCTACTTGTAGCTACTTGCTCCCTCTAGAAAACTTCCCCAATCGGTGCCTGTTGGTCCCCCATGATCCTCTTTTTCTTACGTTAAATGAGAGCTGAGTTAAGATAGCCACTTGTCACAGTGACCTCGCTGGCTCGCTGGGTGGTCTAATCCCTTCTAGCTGAAGTAGTAAAGCCTGCCTTTAAAGGTGAATGAAAATAAGTAGCAAGAAATGTCTTGCAGTCCGGAGAAGAATGCTTAGAGCTAGGACCTTTATAATATGATATGTATATATCTGCCCAGTTATAATGTTGATAAACACACAGGGAAAAAATACTTTAACAATTTCGGGGGCTACTTTTCAAGCTTGCTTGCATGAAAATAACACTCTTTATTTTGTTTTGCATTGAACTCTATGCAGTTTTGGGGGGCTCTTTTGGGCAATTCAGGGCTAATTCGCCCTGAGCCCCCATGTATTTTTTTTCTGTAAACACATTCAACTTTCAAGTATCAATATGAACACAACATTTTGCCCCCTTCAGACTGATACCTTGCTAGTACCATTGCTGAAGATCCCTCTTATAGCTACCTGTTTATGTTGGTGTTAAAGCCATGTTTAAAGCCCATCTGCACTAGTTTGGCCAGGGGGATTAGACCTCCCCGCAAGGTCACTGACAGGTGGTTATCTAATCAAATCAGCTCTCAATTAACATAAGAAAGAGTGGATCATGGGGACCAACAGGCACCGATTAGGCATTGTTTGCTATATAGAGGACGCAAGTAGCTGCAAGTAGTACAGTGGGGCTTTAAATGATCCAACTTGACACCCTTCTCGCCCTGAGCAGGCATATACATGCGTGTCTATACCCAGCTATAGGTCTGGTGTGAACTGGGGTCTAGTGTGAACGCGACATTTCAGCTCTCTCGATCAGGCAGGTAGCTTGAGAGTACCCAAGGCTGTAGTATGAATATTATAGGTATGTGAACGATACTAGCTCACATCATCCTTGCCTTGAGCAGATATGCGTATCTCTGCCGAAGCTATAGTTTCTATCAATATATTCATCTTCATCTATGTTGTATCGATGTGCACCAAACATGATTTGGTTTTCTCAGACCAGACAGAGAATACCATGGCTGGCTAACTGCCGTCTATTATAGGTGTATGAATGACTGCCTGCCAGACAGACAGATATTATCTATCTGAACCTCTCATTTTATTGCTGCACATGTCATGACGTGACTAGCGATTACATGCCAAGCGACTGCCCAACATATGTTGTGTCATTTTCACGTTGACTTGCTTTCCTCGCAGTTTCTGCTCACTCTATTCCACATTTTATCCACAATTCTGTTTTATTCTTGGGATGTCTATCCCTTTTCTCTCTCCCTTTTTCTCTCTCCCTTTTTCTCTCTCCCTTTTTCTCTCTCCCTTTTTCTCTCTCCCTTTTTCTCTCTCCTTTTTTCTCTCTCCCTTTTTCTCTCTCCCTTTTTCTCTCTCCTTTTTTCTCTCTCCCTTTTTCTCTCTCCCTTTTTCTCTTTCCCTTTTTCTCTCTCCCTTTTTCTCTCTCCCTTTTTCTCTCTCCCTTTTTCTCTCTCCCTTTTTCTCTCTCCCTTTTTCTCTTTCCCTTTTTCTCTCTCCCTTTTTCTCTCTCCCTTTTTCTCTCTCCCTTTTTCTCTCTCCCTTTTTCTCTCTCCCTTTTTCTCTCTCCTTTTTTCTCTCTCCCTTTTTCTCTCTCCCTTTTTCTCTCTCCCTTTTTCTCTCTCCCTTTTTCTCTCTCCCTTTTTCTCTTTCCCTTTTTCTCTCTCCCTTTTTCTCTCTCCCTTTTTCTCTCTCCCTTATTCTCTCTCCCTTTTTCTCTCTCCCTTTTTCTCTCTCCCTTTTTCTCTCTCCCTTATTCTCTCTCCCTTATTCTCTCTCCCTTTTTCTCTCTCCCTTTTTCTCTCTCCCTTTTTCTCTCTCCCTTTTTCTCTCTCCCTTTTTCTCTCTCTCCCTTTTTCTCTTTCCCTTTTTCTCTCTCCCTTTTTCTCTCTCCCTTTTTCTTTCTCCTCTTTTCTCTCTTCCCTATATGGTATCATATTGTTTAGCAAAAAAAGATGTAGAATTACCTGACTGCTTCTTTATTATAAAGCCTTCACTTCTTTTTCTTTCTTTTTTGCCTTTATTTTGCAACTCTTGTTACATCTTCAAATATTGGATTTCCAAATATCATATCTCATTTCCTTATCATTTGTCAGAAATATTGCACCGTGTAAGTGCTGTGAATTTTCATCATCATCATCATTCTTATAACAATAGTAACCTAAGCAACAAAAATACATCATACCACACAAATACCTATCCACAGTGTGCAAGATACTCAATGTTTTATAATCTTTTTTTACAATTCATTTTGTGTCCATGACGTGTATGTATTATTGGGTCCTTGCATGGTGACGAAAAGCCATTTCCTTACAAATTTTTTTTTTTTTAAATACCATTACTTAGGTTATTTAAGAATTGGCAGTTATGATGACATTGCTTACTATTGACATTGACCTGGCCTTGTTCTATGCTACAACCATTAAATGTGATGTATCCTTTTTGCAGGCATGAAATATGAAGTTGGATGTAGACATTGGTTTAGGGATGAAAACATGGTTTGAGAATTTGACTCGTACTGAAGGATTTTTAACTGACTTTTCATGGAATTGTATCAATTGTACAATGTGGAATTGAAATATTTGTTGTCCAATTTTCCATACCGGTATATGTTTTTCAAGGAAGACTTATGAGCTAAATATTCATTAAGAACTAAACATCTTTCTTATCCAAGTCAAATGTCAAGCCAGACCTTTAAGAATGAGGGAAGTAGCAAGTACGATAGCATTATACCTCTAAAACTATTGTATATTTCATTTCTAAATTTCCAATCTATCATTTTCAGTTTTATTCAAAACTCTAAGTCTGATACAAAATGATGCGATATTCAAAAAAACTCCATGCCCATGTCAAAATGTGAAATCTTACCTTTAAGAATATGGGAAGTGGGTCAGTGAATTACTGTGGGTTTCTCTCCAATGTCAATGTTTTGATAGGCGATTCACTAGAAGCTAGCCAGCTCTAACAGCGCTCCTATGGCCCGATGAAAGATGCTTTCCTTATTCTTTTGGTATAGGTAGTAGTGACTGCAATGCTTTTACCAGAGCTCATTATGTTCTTTTCTCCTAACAAATTCACAATTTTAGGACCATTTACACAGCCAAAAAAACATTTTGAAATATCTGTCTTCTTTTTTTTTTTTACTGCCATTTACGCTACTGGAATAACCCATGAGAAACTGGTGATGTTTACAAAGTCTGGGGGGAGGGGTTGTGAGTGCAGCACATAATAATAATAATAATAGTAATCTTTTAAAGTCCATTCCAAATTTTATTAAGTTAAACCGAAAATGGAAATTCTTTTTGCCCATTGATCGTGAGCCCGGCAGCCACTGAGCAGCGCCAGATCGACATTGCTCTATCCCCTTATTGTTGAACGCCAAACAAGGTAGCAGCAACTCCCGTCTTCTAACGTCTTTTGGTATGACGCGGCCGGGGTCTGAACCCACGACCTCCCGTTGTGAGGCGGACGCTCTACTGACTAAGCCAACACACCGGTTGCGCCACTTGTCGCTGCCCTGCATGCGTTAGCACGGAAGCGAGGAGTCACGTGACCAAAAACCAGAATGATTCGCCGATGTTTTGAGAGCGAGCATTTACACTGCAGAAAATGTTTAAGTTTTTGCCAGCGTTTCAAAAAACTAAACTCTAGGGGTGGAATTTTTCATTGCTCAGCTACTATTGTATGAGATCCTATAAAGTGTCACACATTATCAAGATGGGAGAAGACCTAGACCCGACAGATATAAAGGTATTACTTGCACTTTCTGGTGACACAGAGTTTATAATTCCAGGGGGTGTACCACAAAGACTAAAATCGACTGAAGTTAGACTTGAACTATGCAGGCCATTTATGCCACTAGTTGCCCTCTCAATTATAAATGATCTTTTGATAATATTTTTTCCTGCCATAATGAACTATCAAAAAATGTTAATTCTGTAGAGTTGTGCCCACGTTTTGTACGTCCCTTGAGAAACCAATGCCAGGAATGGTTACAGGAACTAGTGGTATGAATAGCCTGCCATAGTTCAAGTCCAACTTAAGTCTATCTTAGACCCCGTTTACAGTGAGAAAAGGGCCAGGGCCTTTCACTTCCGGGGTAACAGTTGGGCCGCAGCCTGGCCCTGCGTGCGTTTACAGTAAGAAAATGCTGGGCCAGGCCGCGGCCGAGACTACCTCCAGAGCAGGGCCAAATGCGAGGCCAAACTGGCCGCGCATTTGGCCTTTTGTGCGTTTACAGTGCTAGTTTACGCGCCTTTTGCTCACTGTTACAGGGGTCTATGTCTTTGTGAAACACTCCCCAGGTTGGCTTTATACCTCCTTTGGTAGTTAACAAGTGCCATACTTGTGTGAGTTCTGTCCAAGTTTTCTAGCCTGATACGGCACTCATGTCCTTTGGCAAGGCATTAATATTCATTTGCCATACTCGACCCAGGTGAGGTACATGGGTACCTGGCAGAAATTAATTCCTTGAAATGCTGGAGCGCTGTAATGGCAGTTAGGCTAAAGCTGGGGTAATAATTAATGCGCCTCGGAATAGAATTTCCAAATAGACGGCGCTATAGAAATGCCTTTAAATATTATTATTATTATTATTATTATTATACATCCTAACCTTTCTTAATCTTTTTAGTCTGTGCCACGATTAAAACAAGCAAGATCCTGCTTGGGGAAGGCAAGTAAATGCGATGAACAGCGACGATATCACTTGCAATTTAATTTTTAGCCGTTGTATCTCGCTTGTAACCTTCCCATGCTATGTTGTACCTGTGTATTGTCGTCTCAATGTCTGGAAAATGATCTTCTTCCACGAACCCATAGGTCATGAATATGCCCCACTTTCTACTATCTCCCTCTCTCTTTCTTTCTCTGTCTCGCTGTCTCTTTCTCTCTCTCTCTCTCTCTCTCTCTCTCTATCTTTTTCTCTCTCACTGTCACTTTCTCTGCCTCTTATCTTATGTACCTCTCTCTCTCTCTCTTCCTCTCTCTCTCTGTCTGTCTTTTTGTCTCTTGTTTTGTGTGTGTGTGTGTCTTTCTCTATCTATCTCTCCCCCTCTCTCCCCCTCTCTCTCTCTCTAAAATGACAGTATATTTTATAGGACCATATGTTGCGGTTTTGCACGTATGCAGATATTATCTCTATATATGGTTACAGATTTATCCTAGCTTCTCAGTGCAATGTAATATGGAGATGAGGGTACTTTACTTATGGGTTTATTACCCATCATGTAGCTTCTTTTGTTTCCTCTTGTCTTTCTACTCTTCAGTCTCTCTGCCTCCCCCCCCCCCCCCTTCTCTCTATCTCTCATCCCTTTTCTCTCCCTTTTCCTCTCTTCTCTTTTCCTCTCTTCTCTTTTCCTCTCTTCTCTTTTCCTCTCTTCTCTTTTCCTCTCTTCTCTTTTCCTCTCTTCTCTTTTCCTCTCTTCTCTTTTCCTCTCTTCTCTTTTCCTCTCTTCTCTTTTCCTCTTCCCTTTTCCTCTTCTCTTTTCCTCTCTTCTCTTTTCCTCTCTTCTCTTTTCCTCTCTTCTCTTTTCCTCTCTTCTCTTTTCCTCTCTTCTCTTTTCCTCTCTTCTCTTTTCCTCTTCTCTTTTCCTCTCTTCTCTTTTCCTCTCTTCTCTTTTCCTCTCTTCTCTTTTCCTCTCTTCTCTTTTCCTCTCCTTTCTTTTCCTCTCTTCTCTTTTCCTCTCTTCTCTAACCTCCCTTCCCGTTTCTCTCCCCTCTCATTCTCCTCTTTGCGTCTATTCTCTTTCCCTTTTCTTTCAAATCTCTTCTCATTTCTTCTTTTCTTTTTCTCTTTCCTTTCTCTTCTCTCATATATCTTCTTCTTTTCTTTTTCTCTTTCCTTTCTCTTCTCTTTCTCTTCTCTCATATATTTTCTTCTTTTCTTTTTCTCTTTCCTTTCTCTTCTCTCATATATTTTCTTCTTTTCTTTTTCTCTCTCCTTTCTCTTCTCTCTCCTTTCTCTTCTCTCATATATTTTCTTCTTTTCATTTTCTCTTTCTTTTCTCTTCTCTCATATATTTTCTCTCCATTTTCCTCTCTTCTCTCCTCCTCCTCTCCCCTTTCTTTTTCTTCCTCTTCCTCTTCCTCCATCTTTGAATACCAGTACGGATGATTCAGGAGAATACGAACTCAAACATGATGCGAGTTCATGATAAATTCCAGACCCACATTCAAACAGTGTCTAGACAGGATTTATGTGATTTGAAGACAAGGTAATCATCTCAGAATTCATTCATTCAACTGCATTTTTTACGCTTTTTCAAGTACCTGTCAAGCGTATGATATATCTGAATGAAGTTAGTCCATTACTAATGGGTCAATAGTGAGTCTTCAATGTCTCGTATATAGGTCAGTATCTTGTGTCTTGGTCTTGTTCTTGTTTATTTCAATTTTTGTTTTTCATGGCAATTCAATCATTACACTATATTTGAAATTGCTCAATTTTTGCCTCTGGCCATCTCATTTTCTTCCTGTTTTATTTTGTTATCCTTTTTCCATTTTATGTGGAAACTTTCTCTAACTCTCATTTAATTCATAACTGAAACTATGTTTTGCCCCCCCCCCCCCCCTCAACAACAAAAAAGTATGTACTGTAGTCATGCCCAAAATTGAATTAATATGCATCTATCACAAGACTTGTTTTATAAGTTGGTGAATTGTTGCAGATGTAAAGGAATTGATTTTCATTCAGTTTGATTGTTTTAGTAAATCATTCACGACTCTTAACACAAATCATAACATTTCAAAATCATATCTATAAAGGTAAAACTGTGGGATGTAAACAAACCCTTGCTTTTTTATTTTTTTAATAATTTATATCCCATTGAATCATGAGCCAAAGCAGGGAAAAAATACATGGGGGCGCTGGGCAAAGTAGCCCCCAAAATGCTCCAAAGAGCCCCCGAAAGTCATAAAAGAGCCCCCCCCCCCCAACTTTGCATAGAGGTCAATGCAAAACAAATTAAATATTGTTATTTTCATGCAAGCAAGCTTGAAAAGTAGCCCCCGAAAAAAAATTAATATATTTTTCCCTGAGCCAAAGAAGCGTGTCTCTGGGAAATATGTGTTGTACAATTGTATCCAATGGGTGAAATTTTCACATAATCACATGGTCTTCACATGCAAGGCTCTTGGCTATGTGAAAACATTTACAATTGTGACATGTATCACCCATGTTCTGGGAGTGACAGGGTCGCACTGTAAAGATAATCAGAGATAGTCGGAGAGAAAGGTCTGAAAAGTCATCTAATGACCCAAAGACAAATTGTAATGGTTTAAAGATACTGTGTCCCTTCTGCAGCCAACATCAAATTCTGTAGAACTTTGCAGGAGCGATGAATAAGTAATGTATGTCCTATCTGTGAAATTTAAACGTTAGCAGTGTCCTAATATTCAAATTATGCAAGGAAACCCGTTTACTTGCTAGACTTGACTGTCTGACACTATTGGGTGACTGACTGGCTTTTTTTTTTCTTCTTTGGTAATAACATACATAAAACGAGCTGTAAAGGGTACATGAGCATTTGTCTATATCAATAACCCACTTCTTGTAATGGCCAAATTAAACTGATTGAATCTTTGTGCAGCACTGAACGTACGACCATTTGGAACAATGGTCTGAAAATCAAACTATTAAATTCTGACTTGGTAGCACTTGAGTCGATTTGACAACTAATATTCGTTATTTTCCCACTTAAAGACATTTTCAAGCCCACCCCCCCCCCCTTTTTTTTTTGTAGGGAAGTTCTAAATTAGTATTATCTTTCAAATGCTGTTGGAATTTAACCTTTTCATTTTTGGGGCCTGCAAAGGAGACATAGTACCTCTAAAGGGGAACAAACGTGGATAATTAGGGTAAAAGGTTTGAAAAGTCATCTTGAAACACATCATGAGCGCTTGCAGCACAGTATAGACGATGTTCGCAATTTATAGATTTCTAACATTTGTCATTGTTTATCATAATTCAATTCAATTCAATTCAATGATCCTGAACAATCTGTAACTGTTTAAATAGCACTAAACAAGAAAAGTTAGATGAATAGTCTAATGGCCCATATCAAATTAGAACAGTTACCCAAGCACACACAAACAAATTGAAGTATCATTCGAAAAGTATCATAATAGCCCCAAACAATTTTGTAATCATGGATCCCGTTTTATGTTCCATTTTTTATTTATAAACATTGCACAATTAGTCCTCTGATTACTATATTTACTTTGTATCTCTTAATAAACCAAGTTGAATTGAATTGAATTTAAAAGGCCCGGAGAAGAGAAACTGGATTAAGAATTAAAAGCCATGTAATGGCATAAAACAAATGGTAAAGGTTAAAAAAGGGGACCGAACATGACATAGCAGTGTAAGGTTGAAAACTCATATAATGGCTAGTAACAATATGGAACCATTTAAAGGGAACTGAATACAAAACATTGGAGTAAGGTGTAAAATTTGTTTTCTAATGGACCAAAACAAATTGTAATGGGTTAAAGGGGACTAAAATCACCAAATGCAAAAAAGTATATTATTAAAGGAGTATGAATTGAAAGGGTCATGTAATGGCACAAAAGAAATTGAAATGGTTTAAAGGGGACCAAACACACACAAAAGTGGGGTTATGGTCTGAAAAGTCATCTAATGAACCAAAACAAATTGTAGAGGTTTGAAGGGAACATCAAAGAAATATTGGTATAAGGTTGAGAACTCGTCTAATGGCCCGAAACAGTTTTTAACAGTCAAAAGGGACCAAACACTAAATATCGGAGCAATGTTTAAAAATTGTCTAATTAACCAAAAACTCCTGGTAATGGTTTAAAAGTGTCCAAGTGCACAAAGTACAAGTACAATCTGGAAAGTGGAAAGTCTTCCGATGGACCCGAACAAATTGTTATGATTTAAAGAAGACCACAACAATTTGAATGTTGTTGGATAAAATTAATATGATGGCCCAGATCAAGTTGTAAAAGTTGCAAAATGATAGGGTAAGTCATTTAATGGACCAAAACAAAATATGATTCAAAGAGGAACAAACACAACAAAATCGGAGTATAGTTTTGGCTTAGTATGGTTTAAAAAGTTATCCAATGACCCAAAATAACTTGAAATGAAAGGGGAACAAATTTTGTTAAAGTATTTTGATCTGTATATTAATATTGCTGCTATCGTATGTTTAAAAAAAATCAAATCAAATTTTATCTTGGTTTTAAAAAAGATGCAAGTATGCTTTCTAAGTAAAGGTACCAACATACTACATACAATATTACATTTAGATCATTCTTATTTCATGAACGGATAAATGGAGGAGAAAATATAGACATCATTATGCAGGGGTGTATGATGCTAAAATTTGTTTTAACATTAGAAAAGGATGGATTTGATGTCAAACATGAGGATATGATTTTTTAGTTCTTTTTACCTGCATTTAAAATTTATATTATATATGCATTTAAAATTTAAGGGGGAAGGTAGCCTCTGGATTTTCCATGTTAAGTTGGAAAGAGCAAATTAAGGTCTTTGTTTATAAATATATACATGAACACATTTTCATTTCAAATTTTATTTGAGGTCGCCAATCCTAGTCTATAGCATTGCTTATGATTGCAGTTTCCTGTACTTTTCTCACAGATAGTTTGGATAATACTTTAAATTTATCATAATATGTTACAGAAATATTAAGTTCATTATTATATGTATATATGTAAATAAAATGTTGACATGAAGTTGTTATTGTTTGTATATTTTGTAGGACACCTTACATTTATATGTTCTTTGTTGTTCAGTTGTTGTATCAGGAAAAATGCAGAAATACAATCAAATCAAATATTGAAAAGTTATTTCAAATTAGCATTGTTGTCTTATATTGCTTCTGCCTATTAAATTGCTGAAGAAAGTTTAAAGGAAAGTTGTATGTATTATCCAGTGGAATCATTCAGTTTAGAAAGTCAATTTTCATTTCTGGGACTGTGTGTGTAATACAGCTATGAAGTTTTTAAGCAAATGAATGCCTTTCAGTGTGTCATTTAAAAAAACTATTTTTCACTACACAATTTGATCACAAACCAATTTTGTGATCAAACTTTACCTTTGATGTATCAATTAATAATTTATTCCTCCCCTCTCTTTTTTTTTTGTCTCTCTTTCTCTCTCTCTCTGTCTCTCTCCCTCCCCCTCTCTCTCTCCCCCCCCCCCCCTCTCTCTCTCTCTCTCTCCCCCCCCCCCTCTCCCTCTCTCCCCTCCCCCTCTCTCCCCTCCCCCCTCTCCCTCTCTCACTCTCTCTTCCCTTCTCCTTCCAGACGATCATGTTCGTCGGGACCCTGGAAGACCCTGGGCAACTGGTACTGGTAGAGCGCCCCCAACAGGCTATCTTCGAGCAGTTACCACCCACCCTCCAACAGAAAAAGTTTGGAACCTAGATAAAGACTTGTCAACGACCCATGCTGGCATCGGTGACTCTGTTCATTGCGGTGTCGATGCATAAAGGATGTTCAAAAGGAAATGAGAAAAACAGTGTGCTTGGTCGATATAATGGATTGACTCTAGATGTTTTGGGGTACTTTGAAGAAAGGGTCGCTGGGGCTTCTTTTAGAAAAAGTTGCAATGTGACTAACATGCAACCAATCTATTTTAGGAGTTACAAGATGATTTTTTTTTTGTTAATGCCAAGGTCCCCTTATATTTATGCTTGAAAGGAGTGCCATCATTACATAACTGGTCGCCTCCCCCCCCCCCCCCCCCCCCCCACTCCCTAAAACTAGCCTTCATTTATACACTCCTCTGACATTCCTTCTTTAAAAGAAAAATGAAATGTGACCTCTGTGCGAATTCAATCTCATAGCCTCAAACAGCATGTCTGAATCATACCAAACTGTCTTAGAAAGATGCTTTTAATCTTATGCTGTCCAACCGACTGTTGACTCACTCTCCGAGTCTCTGCTTTCATTCAACCTGCCCTACATTCGTTTTTTGTCGTCGTTGGATTTTATTTGTCGGATTCTAAATATTATGAAATGCTGGTGAGTTATCAAACCTTTTGTTCCCAAGGTACCAAAGTCCATGGAACCAATCAGACGTAATTTGTAATTCAAATCATCAGTAATGAGAACTAGAGAGAGAGAGAGAGAGAGATTTTATTTTTGGTGGCGCAGATTTTCAAGGCTGTGAAAATCATTAAGGGGGGTCTTTTAGAATATCCAGCCATGGTTAATGTTCCAGCGATAATCAACAATTTTTTTGTTGAGTGTTTCCCTCCACAAAACTTGCTGGGAGCCGAGATGATTATTAATTCATAACAATTAACCCAATATTTATGTCTGTCTGTCTGGCTCAAAAATCCCATACTTGATCATCTGTTGTTAATGCTTTTTTTAATCTCCCAAAAGATTCATATAATTTAATGCGGAGTTACTGCTCTTTCGCTCCAAAGTACTTGTTTTTTATGCACAGTTTATGCTCTTGTGATTCCAAAGGTACTTGTATTATGTCACACAGACATAATGCCCTTCTGGCACTAAGACAGTAGTGTTTTGTTTTTTATAGAAAGAGTGTATCGAACTTGTGACACTTTTTTGTCGTACAAGAATGGTGTTTATTGAAATTTCAAATATCTAAGCTCCGATTTGATATACATGTATATACCTCATGGAGATGTAAATAATATAAATTTGGCATTATCAAATATTAGTAAAAAAATCAGTCACATTTAACATGAAATTAACAGTGCTGATGTGAAGCACAAAGCTCATGTCAATATTACATTCCTCGAATTAGACACAAAATCGTCCACAGATCTTTGTAAAGTGCTTTTTCAACTGCAAGGAAAAGGCACTAATTGCGTCTTAGATCAGATCAGATTAGAATTGATCTTCACAAGCATTACCTTTGCTTTCATAGCAGCCAAGTTCATTTCAATTCATCATAAAAATCCGCAATCTGTTGACTTCCATTCTCTTTAGTAGGACGTAAAGCGATATGTTTGCCGGAGTAAACACGATGCTTTGTACCCCTCAGCGTTAAATCATCTGACTGTCATATCGGGTTTCACACAGATCTAGTCTGACAAACGTGAAGTGTCTAGACTGAGTAATGCCATAATCAATTCTCATGGATTCAAGTGTTTGGAAGCCAACGATGTTTAGCGTGGCACCCCTTTTATCTGCAAGTCATTGGGATGTAAAACCATGGTACAAGGTATCTAGACGTATGCCATATTTTGCTGTTTAAAAAAATATAGAGTATGGAATGGTAAGTTACCATGGAAACAAGTAGATATTCTCACCTGGATATGGGATGTCGTTTTCTTTTTAATGCAGGTTCTGGCACAAAATGTATGGTATATCAGGTTTATGCTGTAAGTGAAAAGAGTTTGAAATAGTAAAATGTGCTATTATCACTTGTGTTAAAATGCAAGACCTGGAAAATACATCTAGGCTGATACATTTCTTTGCTTGATTAAGGTTCATTTTTAGACTAGAGTATCATGTATTAAAGGGATCGTTAAACAATTTAAAATCTGAGATACACGGCTACGTGTTATCAGTGTCTGTGACATAGTGTTATATTGAAGCCCTAAAAAAATTGCGCTTCAAAATGATCAAGAAGTGCCTCAAAAAAGTAAAACCTTTGAGTGACCAGTTTTACCATATTCATTTTCCCCAATAGACAGTAGTGTTATGAAAACCGTTTGGCAAACGCAAAATTTGATTTAGATTTTCAATCATAAATATCTTGATAATCAGACAGGCAATCAGCTTGTAAAAGTCATGGGTTTCCTGACTGACCTAAAGGTTTATAATCATCATTGCAGCATGAGCTAAATTAAGGATTTTTTTTTAAAGGATCTAAGACAAAGTTACCGGATCCCTTTAAAACATTATAGAATTTACAAGAAATGTTCCCCTTCTGAATATGTGTGTTAACGGTCATTAATGTACTAAGACCACCACGCCATTATGTTCTGTTTTTAAATAATGCAAGCCCTGGGACAAACACCTGTAGTAATGCAGTATTTTGCTCCTAACAACAACAAAAAATCTTTTTTCCGTAGATCATGAGACCAGAATATGCCTTCATGAAATACCATGGAAATTTTTTTAAATCTTAACTTATGAGTATATTCTATATTGTTCGTTGATTCACTTGTTATTCTTTCATGATGAAATGCAAGCTCTTTTTGTCGTTCTAATTTATTCCTTTTTATGTAATGAGGTAAAAAGCAACCCTATCAACTGATCGAAGAACAAGCATGATCAACAATTAAATCATCGGTATAATGGAAATAAAACAGAATGGTAAAAAGCAATTATACAATTGTGTAAATTATATGGTATAGTCAGTAATATGAGTGTTCTCTTTTTTCCAAATTAAAATCTGTAGAAGATGATATCTATTATTGCATTGTCAATAAAAGGGATACCAGAACATATTTAATTTAGTCTAGTTTATATGTTTTAATGTTTGCATCATTCATCATCACTTGAGTGGGTAGACAAAGGATATAATGATAATAATAATAATAATGCACACATTTATAATGCCAAACATATCCACCAGATGGTGAAAATCCAGCAGATATAAAAACACTTAGTTGGAACAGAACGAATCGTGTCAAGTGTATGTTGTCTTCTTCTTTTTTCATGAAAAAGACATATATCAATAAATGCATGAATTTGCATTCGCAGTGAACAGATGTTGTGCCATGTTTTTTTGTATGTAATTGTTTTGGTGAATGTTGAAATTTTAAAGCTTTTGCGTGTTATGAATGTGCTTGTGGTATAAAACCTTGCACTTGAATGAAATCCTGGTAAATTGCTGGTATATGCAGTAGAGCAGTTTATCCAGGTTAGTTCAAAGTGCTGAGTGATTTGTAAAAAAATCATGGTTTTTATTCTATAAATTAGAAATATATGATGTTCTTACTATCAATATGCCTTTTGAATTTTCAAAAAATTCAATCGGGAAGTTTGTTAAATTAGAGTTTATAATTTGGTTTCTCACACTACCCAATTCGTTTTTCCAACCCCTTCGTTAAACGATCAAAGTGACCTCTATATGCAAATTTCGGCATACTACAATGTACGTCACGGACAGTACTCGACCTATACTAAGGCTGTTGCAATTTATCCGTACAATGTGTTCGCAATGTCATAGTACATGAAAACTTACAAAATCTGGACTGGTTTACAACATTAATTTGTATAATATTCCTCCCAAACTTTAAAAAAAAGAGATGCTAGCCTTGATGAGTTGAAGATGTATCGTGATGTTCGTAAGTGTAATTCGCGGGTAATTTTGACCTGTCAGATCAGCAGGCGGTCAACACTACTGCAGGTGACGTCACATCCCCGACCTGCATCACGTGACTGTTAGTAAGCTTTTCAGAATTGAACGCTGTGTTGGCTGAAAAGTGCCAATTTCAACACTTAATAACAAAAAACCGGTAAATCAAAGAATAAAATAACATCGATTTATTTATTCATTATATATCAAATAATGTATACCCAACATTTTTCGATTTTTGATCACATCAAAATACGAGTAACTCAGTACTTTAAGCAGAAGGGAACCCCTACCCCCGGCCCTTCCACTCAGAGGTCGGAATGACCGCATGCGTGTTGCCAAAATGTCCGGTAAAGGGGTACTTTTCGTGCGACAAAGTCCGGCCCGAGATTTGTAAAAAAAGGGGTGTATTTGACTTTTCACCCGGAGATTTCTTTAAAAAAGGGGTGTTTTTTCTTTTTCTCTCTCATCTCTTTGGACTCCTGAGAAATTATTCCGAATTTAGGGGGGTACATTGAGCATTTTTCCTGATTTAGGGGGTCTCCAAGGCAGGAAAAGCCTGCGAAAAGCCCGCGAAAGGGGGGTTCGGAAATTTTGGCAGTCCTCAGATAGGGGGTGCTTTCAAAAAGAGGGTACGAGCATATGCGTACCCTAAATAACACTGAGTGGGGGGGCCGGGCCCCTACCACTCTGTCTCTGCTTATTATGAATAATTGTTTGAAACAAAATTATCTGAGAGGAAGATTCCGTTGTGATTCTGTTTTGTTTATTTTATTTGAAGATGAATAGAGTGGGACATTGGAGACGATGATTGCAAAGGTGCCATTGTTGTCTATGATGATAACTTTGGTGATGGTGGTAATGGTGGTGTTGGTAATGATGATGATGGTGATAATGATGACTATGGTGATGGGGGTGAGGAGGGATGATTAAGATGATGATAACGATGGTGATGGTGGTGGTGGTAATGATGATGATGATAATTACAATGATGACGATGGTGATGGTGGTAATGGTGATGATGGTGGTGGTGGTGGTGGGGGTAGTGGTGATGTACATGTAATGATGATGAAGAAAGCTAGACAATGCCAACAAATGAGAGAATTATGATCAAAGATTTTTGCTCTCTTCCTGTCGTTCTATCTTCTCTCTTCTGCCCCCCCCCCCCCCTCTATCTTTCTCTCTCTCTCTCACACACACATTCATGACAAATATTCAGTTACTCAAATGTTTTAAAGACACGACATTACATAATGAATGTTCTCTCAAGCTACTTCAGCCCCCTATGGTATCCTGCAAAACCACGGAATTACAATCACTAAATATATACAACACATTAGATTGTAAAATTCACGGGAAATAAAAAATTACTCGTGTCCTTTCTTTCTTCCAATTGTCTATCTCTGTCTTCCTTCTTCATCATTGTGCCCCCTTTCTATCTCTCTCTTCCACGAAAGACCCCCACCCCACACACAAACACACACACACATGCACACAGTTTTATATCTCTCGCTCTCTCCCTCCCCCCCCCCCCCCTCTCTCTCTCTCTCTCCCTCCCTCCCTCCCCTCTCTCTCTCTCTCTCTCCCTCCCCCTCTCTCTCTCTCTCCCCCCCTCTCTCTCTCTCTCTCTCTCTCTCTCTCTCTCTCTCTCCTTCTCTATCTCTCTCTTCCATGAAAGACCCCCACCCCACACACACATGCACCCAGTTTTATTCTTTCGCTCTCCCTCCCCTCCCCCCTCTCTCTCTCTCTCTCTCTCTCTCCCTCTCTCTCTTTCATTTTCTCATTAGCTCACAAAAGACACAACAATATGAATGTTCGTGACAAACTTCGCCTTCCTGTTGAAACCTTAATTGGGTATCGAAGAACACGCTTCCCTTTTCCCACCGATTTTCGCAAGGCATCTAATTAGATCGAATGATATTCAATTTAAAGCAAAAGGACGGTTGGTTTTGAAGAAGAGAAAAAAACAGCCCCGATGCAGCGGCGCGCGGTCGTTACACTCGGTGGTAACGAACCTTTCCGTCCTGCCTGCATGAAGAACATTAAAATGGGGAAGGTAGCCAAAAAAACTTGCTGCTTTTTTATAAAAAATATGATTACTCATTGAAATCGACAATAGCCAGTGTATATTCAGTGGTTTGAAAATATTTTCACAGCTTTTCATATCGATGGAGCTGCGATAATCTATACTGGTTAGTTACAAAATGGGCGTAAGGGCTTTTTCGTTTGCAAGGGGGGCGGGGGCGGGGGCTGTTTTTGCTCATGTATCAGCTTTCCATTTTCTACGGTAATAGATTGCAAGTTAGCAACGGGCGCGAGAGAGCAAATTTCTGTGACAATCTCAGATTATTTTAGCATCATGTTATGTATCCATTTACAGCGTTGGAATTCGTAACTAAAAATTATTAGATGAGGAATATTCAGGCGAAACCTCAATGTTCAAATGATATTGTAAGGTGACTGTTACCAACAATTTGGTAGTTGCAAATTTGCTGCTGCTACATTTACTGACACTACTACTCGTATTACAAGTATACTGAATAATCATTGTAACAGATCATAAACTCAATTTTTCATCATTTGGGCCGGGTTGTTTTTTTGTTTTTTACACTCTTTTCCTCTTAATTCTCCTTGTTAATATTACGGCTCTCCCAGAGACATTCTATACGATCAGCTTATTGATTACCTTAAAAGATAACTTTTTGTAATAATTATACTTGCCTTTTAAATTTAATATTCAACATTTCAAACGAAAAACATAGTAAGATTGATTTTCAAGACGTATGATGATCACACGTATGTATACCCGCTGGTTTTTGTGAGAAGTGTACGAATGGTCACGTAAATTCGTTGATGGATTAATTATGATAGCAGCATTGATTTCCTTTCTCATTTTATCACACATGTTATGCACGTACTTATGAAAAAGATATTAT